AACAGCAACAGCTTTAGCTGGTTTGGCTCAGTGGCTAGAGCGTCAGCCTGCAGACTGAAGGGCCCCCAGTTTGATTCTGGTCAAGGGCCCAGGCCTGGGTTGTGGGCTTGATCCCCAGTAGGGGGCGTGCAGGAGGCAGCCAATCAATGACTCTGTCTCATCATTGATGTTTCTGTCTCCCTCTCCCTTCCTCTCTGAAACCAATAAAAAAAATACATTAAAAAAAAAAAGAACACGAATGCTATGACATTTCATATGTCTTTTGGTGAAATAGGTACACATTTCTTTTCTTTAAGAAATGGGGAAGTTAACTTTTTTTTTAAGTTATATATTGATTGATTTTAGAGAGAGGGAATTGTTATTCCAGTTATTGATGCATTCATTGGTTGCCTCTTGTATGAGCCCTGACTGGGGATTGAACCTGCAACCTTGGTGTATGGGGACGATGCTCTAACCCACTGAGCTACCCAGCCAGGGCCAGGTACACATTTCTGTAGGGCGCATACCCAGAGCGGAATTGCTGGGTCCCAGGGCAGACACTGTGGTAGGTAAACAGCTTTCCAAAGTGGTTGTACCAACTGACACCCCGCAGCGGGGTGGTTCCACAGCCTCACCAGCCGTGGCATTTCCCGTCTTCTCCACTGTGGCCATTCTGGTAGGTGCGTAAAGGTCCCTCATCTTGGTTCTTATTTATATGTTTTTAAAACAGCTTTACTGAGATATGATTCACATACCATAAAAGGCACCCATTGTAAGCATTCAGTTTGGTTATTTTTAGTAACTGTCACCACAGTCCAATTTTAGAACATTTCCATCACCCACAAGGTTCTCTAGTGCCCACTTGTAACCATTCCTCCTCCCACACCTGATCCCAAACAACCAGGGACCCGCTTTTGATGTGGCTTTAATTTACATTTCCCTGAGGACTAAGCAAGCTGAGCCTTTTTCATTTGGCCCTTAGCCACTTGGAAATCCTCTTCTGTGAAGTTTCTGTTCAAGTTTTCCCCCAATTTTTATGTTGACTTCCCTGTCTTTTTCATACTGCTTTGTAGTTCTGTACGTATTTGGTATATGAGCACCTTGTCAGATCAATGTGAATATATTTTTCCACTCTGAGCTTTGCCTTTTCATTCTCCTAATGGTTAATTTTATATATGTGCTGCCAAAGCGAGCACATTAATGGCTTATTTTGGTAAAGTTCCTAATTTTAATATACTTTGATTTGTATTTCTTGTACAATTAACATCTTTTTATTTATTTTTTAGAGAGAGGGGCAGGGAGAGGGAGAGAGAAAGAAACATCAATGAGAAACATTGATCAGCTGCCTCTTGCACACCTCCCAATGGGGGCATGACTGAGCCAACCCTTGGCAGCTGTTTTCTTTTCTTTTCTTTTCTTTTTTTGGCAGCTGTTTTGTTTATAGCTCTTATCACACTCTTGGATCACTTTACCTATTTATTGATTGGTTTACTCTGTCCCCCTTCTGCCCTCAGCAAAAGTTCCGAGGGGGAAAGGTGCCAGTCACCTGGGCTGATGGGGCAGGCAGGCTGTGAGGCTGGGTTGGGATCGTCTGCCCATGTGGGGCTGCTCAGCGAGCTGCCACAGCACCGAGGGCAGGGCTGAGGGCTGAGGCTCCAGGGGCTGGGCCCAGGGTGCTCAGGGCACTTGACACCTGACCAACCCCCTCCTCCCCCCACGACTGCAGACAGACCCGGTGCGGCTGACCCAGCTGTACGAGCAGGCGCGGTGGGACCTGCTGCTGGAGGAGATTGACTGCACCGAGGAGGAGATGATGGTGTTCGCAGCCCTGCAGGTGCCAGGTGGCCGGGGCCCGGGGTGGCAGGGGTGCAGGCCAGGCCCGGGGCAGAAAGGGTCCTCCAGGTGGGGGCCCCATCTCCAGGGAAGCCCAGCTCAGGGCCGGGCTGGGCGGATGGGCTGCCCATTGAGCCCGCCCTGGCCATGCGCCCCACCCAGTACCACATCAACAAGCTGTCGCAGAGCGGGGAGGTGAGTGAGCCCGCGGGCGCGGACCCGGGGCTGGACGACCTCGACGCAGCCCTGAGCAACCTGGAGGTGAAGCTGGAGGGCTCGGCGCGCACGGATGTGCTGGTGAGAGGGGCTCGGTCAGGGCGGGTCAGGGTCAGGCCGGAGCCAGGCCCGCTGACTCCTCTCCTCCCCAGGACAGCCTCACCGCCATCCCGGAGCTGAAGGACCATCTCCGCATCTTGCGGTGAGTGGGGGGCAGAGTTGGCAGCCCCGCGGGGGGGGCGTGCGGGGGGGGGCAGCGGGGAGAGAGGAGGAAGGTGGCCTCTGACCCCGCCTCCCCCCAGGCCCCGGAAGCTGACCCTGAAAGGGTACCGCCAGCACTGGGTGGTGTTCAAGGAGACCACGCTGTCCTACTACAAGAGCCAGGACGAAGCCCCGGGGGACCCCATTCAGCAGCTCAACCTCAAGGGCGAGTGAGGGGCTGGCCGGGGGTGCATCCCCGTTCCTCCGAGCGCCAGGGAGGACGCCCTGTGCGCAGGCCGCTGCGCCGCTGGCACTGGCCCCGGGGCCTCTCCGGCCGGGTCCCCTCTCCGGCCTTCTAACCCGGCCCTTCTCCCCCCAGGCTGTGAGGTGGTCCCGGATGTCAACGTCTCCGGCCAGAAATTCTGCATCAAACTCCTGGTGCCCTCGCCTGAGGGCATGAGTGAGCTCTACCTGCGGTGCCAGGATGTGAGGCCGCAGGGCCCGGGCCGGGCGGAGGCGGGAGGGGGCAGCGGGCTGACCCAGAGCCCGGCCAGGCCCTGACCTGCCCCTCCCCCCCCAGGAGCAGCAGTACGCCCGCTGGATGGCCGGCTGCCGCCTGGCGTCCAAGGGCCGCACCATGGCGGACAGCAGCTACGCCAGCGAGGTGCAGGGCATCCTGGCCTTCCTCAGCCTGCAGCGGGCGGGCACCGGGGGCCCGGGCAGCCAGCCCCAGGGCCCGGACGCCTCCGCGGAGGGCCTCAACCCGTACGGCCTGGTCGCCCCCCGCTTCCAGCGCAAGTTCAAGGCCAAACAGGTGCCAGAGGGCGTGGGTGGTGGGAATGGCCACAGCGTTTACCTGGCCACCTTGGGCCCCGGGACCTCCACCGAGCTTTCCCCTGCAAAGCCATGTGCTCACTCATTCCTCTCCCCCCGCGTCCCTGAGACAGTGCGCTGGTCCCCTCCCAGAGGAGGGGGGGGGCACGGTCCAGCTGCCCACGTCCACCTCCGGGCCTGGCTCAGCTCATAGGTGATGAGTGGTGAGAGGGTGCACTCTGGGGCGCACAGTGGGCACTGCCCCTGCCCTAGCTCAGCTGGTGGGGGCAGCCAGGGGGCCGCGGGGACGTTGGATGCCCCTCACCAATGTGGCCCCACAGCTCACCCCCCGGATCCTGGAAGCCCACCAGAACGTGGCCCAGCTCCCCCTGTCCGAGGCCCAGCTGCGCTTCATCCAGGCCTGGCAGTCCCTGCCTGACTTCGGTATCTCCTACTTCATAGTCAAGTAAGAGCCCCAGCTGGTCCTCTCCACCCTCACCCTGAACCTCCCTTCCTGGTCTCTGTGGGCAGAGCTGACTGAGGGCACCCCCTGTGCCCCACCCATCCTGCACCCCCACAGCAAACACAGAGAGAGAGCAGGCCAGGAGAACAGGAGACCAGCTCCGTCCCGGCTCTGCCGCGGACCCTTCCCTCTCCCGACTGCTGGGAGCTGGTCTGTGGGACGGGGCCAGCGTGGCTGCCGGGACAGGGAGTGCCCCTGCCCATTTCCAAGCCTGCGAAGATATGATCGAGGCAACAGATGATACAAAAAAGTTACTCATGTAAATTAATATTTTTTATTGATTTCAGAGAGTAAGGGAGGAGAGGGAGAGAAAATTTTCTCAATGATGAGAGAAAATCATTGATCGGCTGCCTCCTGCACGCCTCCTACTGGGTATATGCCCTGACTGAAAATCGAACTGTGACTTCCTGGTTCATAGTTAGAAGCTCAACCACTGAGCCCTGCCAGCCGGGCAAAAAAAGTTATTTAAAGGCATAGAGTATTTGCTGACGCTGCTAAACGTTATTATAATTATTGCATTGGTTAACTCCCACTTTCCAGAAGAGGAACTTGAGGCCCAGAGAACCTAAATGACTTCCTTGCACAACCCACTCCTAAGCACGGCACCAGGCTGTCTGGGCGGGCGCGGGGCCGCGGGGGGGGGGGGGGGGGGTGCCTTGCTCACATCTGTCCTCCTGGGGACCAGGTTCAAGGGCAGCAGGAAAGATGAGATCCTGGGCATTGCCAACAACCGACTGATCCGCATCGACCTGGCCGTGGGCGACGTGGTCAAGACCTGGCGCTTCAGCAACATGCGCCAGTGGAATGTCAACTGGGACATCCGGCAGGTGGGCCCGCGTGAGGGTACGGGGGGAGGGGCCAGGCCAGACCCAGCGGGCAGGGCCGGGTGCTCCCTATCCCACCCCGCCAGCCCCTCCGACTGCCCGCCCTGCAGGTGGCCATCGAGTTTGACGAACACATCAACGTGGCTTTCAGCTGCGTGTCTGCCAGCTGCCGCATTGTGCACGAGTACATAGGGGGCTACATTTTCCTGTCAACGCGGGAGCGGGCCCGAGGGGAGGAGCTGGACGAGGACCTCTTCCTGCAGCTCACAGGCGGCCACGAGGCCTTCTGAGGCCCGTCTTACTGCCCTCTACCACTCACCACTGCCATGGCCACTGCTAAGCCCACACTCGCTGGGACTCACTGCCCACACCCTCTCCACGTACCGAGCTGGGCACATCCGCACTGTCACTGGCTTTGTGCAGACCAGGGACACGGCTGGGCCAGACTCTGCATCCCCCCAGCTGGGGAGGGCGGTCCTGAGCTCTGCAGCACCACCCTTCCCTCGTCTGAGTGGCCGGGAGCAGCACCCCTGGCCTACTTGTAGTCCCTGAGCCCACAGGAAGGCTAGCTATAACCACAGGATAATAACTGATGGTTTCAAACTGGAGGATTTTCTTTTATCTTTTTACATTTCCTTTTTTAATAAATATTTTATTGTTGGCTCATCCTTCTTCCTCTGGAGCTGTGCTGGGGGCCACTCTGACACTCTGTCTCTTCATCACCAGCCAAGGAGAGGGGTTTTCCTGAGATCAAGAGGACTTGGTTAGAGAAAGGGAGACCTAAGTCAGCCTGGGGTTGGCAGAGGACACAGGCTTCAGACACAAAGAACAGGGTGGCGTGGAGGTTCTCACGGGTAGGCCGTAGCTGCAGGGCCTCCTTGAAGTACTTGGGAAGCAGGAAGCCATCAGCGTTTCCGGGAGTCAGGATCACCCCGTTCACAGAGCGGAAGAAGGAAATTCCATCTGCAGACAGAGCCAGAGCTGTGACTCAGGCCCTCTCTGAAGGCCTAGGGCAGCCCTGCTACATCCACACTCACCTGCCAGGGCCAGGGGCCCATTGATGAACACGGCCACTTGGCAGTTTGGCCGCATGCCTGTAGGGACAACTGGAGCTGGGGCCTGGGGCATCTGGGGTTGCAGTTATCAAACACGGGCAGGCTGGGGTCCTGGACTCAGTGAGGAAAAGGGGGTACTGCGGCATACAGGGTATGGGGTGGCTTTGGACCTCTGGAGGGACCTGGGAGGAGAGAGTGGGTGGGAGAGCTGGGGGCGGGGAAACTGACCACTGATGACACCAGCGTCCCCAGGCAGTCCTGTGGCCAAGTGGATGTGAGTCCTTCCGCGGCAGGACAGGCCCTTGAGCCGGATGGAGGGCCAGTGCTGCCAGAATGTGCCATGGACCAGCATCGGGGGCAGGTCCCGCGGGGTCTCCAGGGGCATCAGCTCCAACTCAGGGACCTGGCACGGGCGGGGGGATGGCCAGCAGTGAGACCCCCTCACAGGCAGGGGTCCCACCTGGCTCTCCACGTGTCCCGTTAGCCCCACCTGCAGGGAGTGACCCTGATTGGCCCGGATGAGAGGGCCGGTGCTGGGGTCCCCTGGCTGCAGGGCGAACCGCTGCTTCCCATTGGTGTCCACCACACGCTGCACATCTTCCGCTGAGAAGCTGCGGAACTGGGGCAGCTGAAGGAGGGCTCCCAGGGGCACAAAGCCGCCTGCGGGCAGACGGGGAGCTCAGGAGTTGAACTTGCTCGGGCCTGAGCCAGAGCTCACAGGGGAGACACAACCAGAGCAGAGCCTGGGCTTGGGGATCACAAGGGTTCAAGGGAAGAGCATCTGCCTCATAGAGGGTCACAAAGATAAAGTGACCCTGTCCTGGCTGGTGTGGCTCAGTGGATAGAGCGCCGGCCTGCGGACTGAAGGGTCCTGGGTTCAATTCCAGTCAAGGGACATACTTGGGTTGCGGGCTCGATCCCCAGTGCGGGATGTGCAGGAGGCAGCCGATCCATGATTCTCTCTCATCATTGATGTTTCTATCTCTCTCTTCCTCTCCCTTCCTCTCTGAAATCAATAAAAATATTTTTTTTAAAAAAGATAAAGTGACTCCTTTAGCACAGTACTTGACTCAAAGTGGTACCCAATAAGCCTCACTTGCCCCGCCATCCCCCCACCCTGTGCCCACCTTTGGGATGTTTTTGGGTCGCAGGCCTGGCCTAAGAGAGGCTCCTCCCCAGGTTTGCCCCAGAAATGATACTGGCTCAGGGTCTTCCCGGTAAATGGAGGGGTGCGGCCTGTGTGCCCTGCCCTATGGGGCTGTGGAGGGAGCCCTGGGGGAGAGCAGTCACAGGCAGGCTGGCCCTGCTCCCTGCGCTGGAGCCCTCTCTACCGCAGCCTCCCAGACCCTCACTTACCGGCCCCCATGGGCAGCCCCAGCTTCAGGGCCCCGTGGCGCAGGGCATAGGACAGAGCCTTGGACAGCTGCACGTCGCGGTCCTGTAAGAGTTCAGAGGTGGCTCCTGGTCCCCGTGGCGAGCCTGTCCTGCTGCCCACCCGGAACTCTGAGTGCCCTGCCTGCCCCAGGGGGAGACCAGAGGGAGAGGAGTCCCCATGCTCTCCAGAGAACAGTATGACACCACCACCACCACCCCACCCGACCCCCAGACCCCCCACCGGCATTTCCCAGGGAGCCAGGGCTCGGATCCCTTACCGCCCCTTCCACCGGGCATGGGGAGTGAGGGTGGCAGGGGCGCACCTGTTCCCGGGGTCTGCGAGCCCTTCTGCCTCTGGGCCCTGCTGCTTCCAGCTTCCTCTCCCCAGAGTTCATGGCCCAAACCTGGGGGCGCAGTGGCAAGTGGGGACTGTTAAGGACCTCGCATGACTCCAACTCGCCCGGAAAGCCACAGCCTCAGGACGGGAGAGCTGGGACGGGGGCATATTCAGCGCATTGATTCCCGTTCCACCCAAACCCCTGGTGCAGACAGGACACCGAGGCCCAGCAGGCAAGACCTGCCCAGGTCACACTGTCAGCCACGGGGCCCAGGTGAGCCGAGCCCCGCGCTCCGGGCTCGCGGGTCAGGCTCGGGCCCAAGGAGGTGGGGCCGGCGTCCTGGATCCCGGGTCCCGGGTCCCGGGGCGGAAGATGCGGGAGAGCCAGACGGACGAGCGAGCTCACCGACTCCTCAGGCGGAGCGGCCGCACCGCGGGCTCCGAGCCCCGAAGCTGGCCAATGAGAAGCCAGGGCAGGAGGGGCGGGCACTTCCACTCGGGGGAAAGGAGCGGGGTCTGCGGGCCGAAGTGGTAGTGAGTACCCGCTGGAGGCTGGAGCTTCTGCACCCTAGGAGGGTCCCTGACCCCTGGGTTTGGGAGACGTGGACATTAGGGGGGACTGGACTCAGGGCCTCGGGTGGTAGGGGTGCCCGGGAGTCCCTGGGACGTCTGGCAGCTGGAGTCTCGGGCGCCTGCTGGATGAGAAGACACTTTACTGCCCAGGGGGGTGCAAACTGTGACCTTACCCGGAGCTGCCCTGTCCAGACCATGGACCCCGAGGTGTCTCTGCTGCTGCAGTGCCCCCCGGGCGGGCTGCCCGAGGATCAAGTTCGGGCTGAGCTGAGCCCGGCCTACGACCGTCGCCCATTGCCAGGAGGGGACAGAGCCATCGCTGCTGCCTGGGAGAGCCGGCTCCAGGCCCAGCCCTGGCTGTTTGACGCTCCCAAGTTCCGCCTGCACTCTGCGTCTCTGGCGCCCGCTGGCTCGCAGGGGCCACAGCTGCTCCTGCACCTGGGCCTGACTTCCTACCGAGACTTCCTGGGCACCAACTGGGCCAGCTCAGCTGCCTGGCTGCGGCAGCAGGGGGCTGCCGACTGGGGTAACAAGCAAGCCTACCTGGCAGACCCCCTGGGGGTGGGTGCCGCCCTGGCCACCGCCGATGACTTTCTCGTCTTCCTGCGCCGCTCTCAGAGGGTGGCCGAAGCCCCTGGGCTGGTGGACGTGCCTGGTGGGCACCCTGAGCCTCAGGTGAGATGCCAGGCTGGGTGCAAAGGCACCAAGACCCAGACAGCTCCGCGTTGTTTCCTCATTCCTCAGAGGAGGAGGTGGCCTGGTACTTGTGAAGGTCTCTGCTCAAGGCCCCCCTCAGCCTCCTCACGGACCCTTCCCCAGATCTGTGAGGAGCGAGGGGATGGGGGCTAGGACCCAGCAGGACTCTGGTTGCCCACCTGGAAAAGGAGGGCCTGGGTCAGGGGCCACCAGCACTCTTACACCGTACACAGACAGGCCGGGAGTATCGGGGGAGGCAGGGCTGGAAGCCGTGGGGGCAGGAGCTGAGCCTCACCTCTCCCAGGCCCTGTGCCCTGGTGACAAGGTCCCCCTGCACAAGGATCTCCCGGGGGAGCTGGTGGTGCGTGAGGTCTTCTCCAGTGTCCTCCAGGAGATAAGGGATGAGGTGAGTGAGGGTGGCCAGGATGGGGTGGGGGGCTGGGAGGGAGGTGGTAGAACATGCCAGAATCAACCTGGATCTGGGCTGGTGGGAGGGTCTGCAGGCATGAGACGTTGAGGGAGGAACTTGGCTCTGCAGTTGGGCGCGCTGGAGTGGAATCCTAGCCCTCATTTCTGTGCCCCTCAAGTTCTTTCTCTTTACCATGGGAACACTGTAAAGGTCTTGCCTACGCCACCCAGGGTTGCTGAAAAGAGAAGTAACTGGAAGCTGATTGATCCGTTTTCCTTGGGGACTCTGGGCAAATTATTTAATCTCTGGTCTGGTTTTCCCATCTGTAAAATACTACACAAGGGCAATGCATGTGTGTCTCCACGGAGAGGGGCAGGGCTGTGGGCAGCAAGCACTGACAGGTGGGACCTGGCCCCAGGTGAACCTGCCACTGCTCACCCTGAGCCAACCGCTGTTACTGGGCATCGCACGCAATGAGACCAGTGCAGGCCGTGCCAGTGCCGAGTTCTACGTCCAGTGAGTGAGCTCTGGGATACAGGGTCCTGGGGTAGGTGGTATGGGTTGAGGGACATGACCGAGGCAGCTGGGGCTCCACAGGGACCCTCCTGGGACTGGGCACCCAGCAGGCCATCCCCATGTCTTTCCCAGGTGTAGCCTGACTTCTGAGCAGGTGAGGAAGCACTACATGAGTGGGGGACCAGAGGCCCACGAGTCCACGGGCATTATCTTTGTGGAGACACAGGTGCGAGGTGGCAACGTCTGGCTTGGCCTAGGAGCTGGGTTGGGACTTGCAGAGGCCTGGTGATGCATGTCTGGAGGGGGGTGGGGGGGAGGCCAGACGGGGCTCCCAAATCTCTCAGAGCTTTTCTCCAGAGCCACAGGCCTCACTGGGGATGCCCGAAGCCCACGGGAGGGGGCCAGGGACCTGTTCAGCCTCTTTACATGTCTCAATGGGGGCTGTACGGTGCAGAGGGCTCTGAGGCTCAGGGGCTCTGGGCACAGCTCCTGCAAGAGCCCTGACAGCTAGACGTCTGCATCTCTGCCTCCCCACAGAGGGTGAGGAGGCTGCAGGAGACTGAAATGTGGGCCGAGCTCTGCCCCTCCGCCAAAGGCGCCATCTTCCTCTACAACCGCGGCCAGGGACACCCCACCTGAGTCGCCCTCGGGTCCGCAGCCCTACCACCACAGCTAGCTCCAAGGACAATAAAGGACTTTATTCTTGGATTCTGTTGACATATGCTGTTTCCACGAGGCGGAGAGGGGCCGCTGGGGGAGCCTGGGTGGGTGAGAGACAGGACAAGTGACGTGGGAAAAAGAAAGCCCAGCCTCAGTTCTGCCCTCTGCCAGCTGGGCTGAGGGCCGAGGGTCCGGGTCGACTATGGGATGGAAACTGCTCTGTGAAAAGTGTTTCCCTGCAAAGCGGCGTGACAGCCATGTTCGTGCGATGACAGCTGGGCCAAGAGCCTCCCTAAATGTCAGCTCGGTGCCGCCCGCTTCCGGGTCGATGCCCGCACCTCTCAGCGCGTCCCTGGCTCCGCCCTCCGGGGGCGGGCCCGAGGTGTCACAGGCCAATGGGTTACGGGGGCAGGGCATCGGCGTGGTGGGCGTGGCCTTGGCGTCTAAGCCAATGAGGGCGTGGGGTGGGCCCTAAGTCGGCGCAGGAAATGGCGGCGGCCGTGAGTACAGCGGAGGCGGGGCTCGGCGTGGCTCCTCCTTCGCCCGCCCCCCAGGCTCCCGGGTTGGGCAGGGGGGTCTCCGAGCTCGCGGCTGGCTGTCCAGACGTCGAGGCCGGTGTGGGGAAGGGCCGGGTTCTGGGCAGGACAGGTCCCGGGCGCTGGGGTCTGGGCTGGAGCAAGGAGGCCCCACCTGCGCCTGGGTCCTCCGGGCCTGCTCCAGCTTTCCCTCGCCGGTGATGGGGGCCGGGCCCCGTCCCCTCGCCCCCGGGGTGCTCGCAGTCTGGTCCCCATGCACTCTCCTTGTGGCCTCCTTCCACCAGCTGTCCTCTCGCCGCCATGCTGCCCCTGCTGCCCCCGTGCCTTTGTCGGCTGTGGCCCCGCAGCCCTCCCACCCGGCTCTTCGCAGAGGCCGCCCGGCAGCGGTGAGTCGGTCGCCCGGGGCCGGTGCCTTCCCGAGCTTCCGGGGGTGTTTGTTGAGGCCCCAGGTGCTGAGATCGTTAGGAACGGGGAGGCAGGTGCCTCCCAGCCTCATCTCGGGGACTCGCACCTTTCCTGCCGTGGCACCGCTGAGGATTAGAATCAGCGGTTCTCAACCTGTGGGTCGCGACCCCTTTGGCGGTCGAACGATTCTTTCACAGGGGTCGCCTAAGACCATCCTGCATATCAGATACTTACATGACGATTCATAACAGTAGCAACATGACAGTTATGAAGCAGCAACGAAAATAATTTTATGGTTGGGTCACAACATGAGGAACTGTATTTAAAGGGCCAGAAGGTTGAGAACCATCATTAGATGAAGGGACGACCGCCCAGGTGGTGCAGCGAGAGTTATGCGGCAGATTCGGCGTTTGGGCCCAAGCCAAACCCAATGCTCTTTACACAACCCCTGTGGGTGTGGAGCAACGCTGATTCCAACCCGCGTGGGAGTGGGTTTTTGGAAACAAAAAATGCAGATTCCTGGGTCCTGCTCTGGAATGAGATGGGCTCAGGAACCTTTTTTAAAACAAGCTTTTCGGCAGTTTCTGACACAAGGAGCCTGAGGACCACATGTTGAGGCACCTCTGGTCTGATCTGCACCATCCCCCAAACACTTGACAGGAGGGGTTGTTTGGAGATAGGTCTCCCCTCTCCGGCCATACCACCCTGATGAGCCTGATCTCGGAAGCTAAGCAGGGGTGGGCCTGGTTAGTACTTGGGTGGGAGATGGGTCCCCCTCGGCACCTGCTTCAGCCCCTCAGCTCCTGGTTGCTGAGTTGAAGGGTGTGCCCCGCGGGGCTGGGATGGGTAAGGAAGAGGCATCTTCTGTGTTGCCTTAGCCCCTACAGGTTGTGGCCTCTCTCCACAGGTCTGGTCCCAGAAACTACTATGAGCTGCTGGGGGTACCTCCTGGTGCCAGCACCGAAGAAGTTAAACGAGCTTTCTTCTCCAAGTCCAAAGAGGTACCAGTGGTCCCAGGCAGGGAGTGGGGAGGGGAATTCTGAGCCAGATGGGGCACACGTCACATTCCCAGGAATGGAGCTGAGGGGCTCGCTCTGGCTGGCACCACCTTCCCTCAGCGTGCATAGGGAGGGGGAAGTGCCCGCCGGGCAGAGTCCGGGCAGGGTGTGAGGAAAGCCAGGGGTCCTGTCTGAGGGGCTGGGCTTGTTTTTCTTGACCTGCCTGCTCGGGCCAGCGCATCTAATGAGAGGTAGGCAGCAGGTGGGGAGGGAGGCAGAGTGTTTCCTGACCCGGGCTTTCTGGTGCGGTGGCCAGCCTGAGGGCCTGAGAGGTAAGGTCACTGTCCAGACAGGGCCCCTGGGAATGATTTGAGCCCTTGTGGGTGGATGTTATCGAGATGGGTCCTGGGGAGGAGCATGGGAAGGGAGATGAGGGGAGTCCTGCTTCACCTCAGCTGCACCCTGACCGGGACCCCGGGAACCCAGCCCTGCACAGCCGCTTTGTGGAGCTGAGTGAAGCGTACCGAGTGCTCAGCCGGGAGCAGAGCCGCCGGAACTACGACCAACAGCTCCGCTCAGCAATTCCTCCAAAGCCTCCAGGAGCCGCCCCTGCCAGCTCTGCTCATCGGGCACATAGGTACAATATTTTGCAATTTGCTTCTTCTCCTCCAAATCTCCTGGGGAGCCTCTTCCCCACACTGTCTCTTTTTCTCCTTCCCAGCAGCTCCTGGGAACCCCCCAATGCAC